CTGATCCGGTTACTTATGTTGTGGAAGATATTTAAGTAAGCTTTCTTAACGCTAATGTTATAATAGTCAGATTGCTCTGAAGGTGGGAGGTGATATCTATTAATGTTCACGTTCACAAAGTCGGTGATTTTTGCCGGCCGTCTTTCCTGCAACGGCAGCTTTTCTGTATTTCCTTTCTCCTGTAATATGACTTGATCGCTTTAAACTCCGCACACTGAGCTCTGATTGGTCAGCAGGCAGTGCTTTCACTGAGTTGAGCTCTTAGCCTGCAACCTAACCTGCTCCGGGGCAGGTCAGCCGCACAGCATAAGTTACCATGGAGATCTAGCCTGCTAAAAAGAGAACCAGCTTCGTAGGACCGGAAACCCAGAGTTTTCCCTGAAGTTTGTGCTAAGCGAAAATCCTGCTTCGTAGTATACTCCCCAGGAGTGGCTGGATCAAGTTAGCTACCTAGCTAGTAGCTAGCACGTTAGTTAGCATTACAGCCTTTTCATTTTTATTAGCCTTAATATGAAGTAACATTAAGTAACCCAAAATGTTAAACAGTAAGAGTAGTAGTCATATTTCGTGAACCCTTTGAAGAGTACTGTCACCGGTGTGATCATTCTATAATACACAATTTAAGCCCGGGGGAGAAATGCTAACACTAGCATCGGCGATCGCCGATCTTTTCTACTTCATGCTATCTGCACAAATGGTTGACATTAAACATTAAAAAGACCAGGCAGTTCAGAGAGAATCAAAGGAAGGCAGGCAGGCAGCTTTGCATGACATTCTTCTGGACGTGTTTCATTGTGGTGATAGTGAGGGTAGTCAATCGTTTTGTTGACAAGACAGTAGTGACTGCCATCTTGGTGACATGTGTTGTTCTGCTAGACCGGAGTTGTAGTTCATTCAGCGTTTCACACAAACAAATGTGTTACTTCACAGTTTTACGACATTTTTATTTTTTTGACTTGCAAAATTATCTTTTAAATTGAAACATATGTGTAATTGATGGCACAATTCAAACGGGATCGAAAGATAATTTTTCTCTCTCCATTGACTTCAAAACATCATTTTTTTCGAAATAAGGTCCCATGGAGGTCCACCGGAAGGGGAGGGACTTCGCCACTCTATGATCCGGGAACTGCTCAGAAACCTCCTTTATTGTCAATGTATGTGTACTTTTTTCAATAATCTTAGATTTTGGCCAACACAGCAAGCAAAGAATAGATAAAAACGAAACGAACCAATAAAAGTACTTAACAAACCCAAAATAAATTGTATATAAAACATACTGTATAAATATAATAAAGGCTAGATGCAAATGAAACCAGGGTGCAATAAAAGTTTGTTTTAAGCTTACACAGAAAACAAGACACTGACTGCTTCAAAAGCTCTGTTCAGCTAAATCAAATAAAAATAAGAACAAGTACCATCTAATAGTATAATTACAGACATGTGACGGTTATGTTTGTTCAGTATTTCAGCCCCTACGTGTCAGCTGATATGACTAAGATGGCACAGGCCTTCAACACAACAGTAGCTGCTCTGGAGGACGAGCTCACTCAGCTCATACTGGAGGGGCTCATCAACGCACGCATCGACTCCCACAGCAAGGTGACACACTTATACAATTATATGTTGACCAGTTAGTCATTTTCCATATGAAACATCACTGACTGGTACTGTCTCATAGATCCTGTATGCGAGGGATGTGGACCAGAGGAGCACCACCTTTGAGAAGTCGATCCACATGGGCAAAGAGTTCCAGAGACGAGCCAAAGCCATGATCCTCCGAGCGGCCGTGCTCCGCAACCAGATCCACGTCAAGGTACAAACATCTCTACATCACATAACGTCTACGTTAATGTTAACACACTAACGGATGACAATGCAAAAAGCTTAATGTGATTATTTTAGCTAAGGTTAGTTTGCTAACAACATTAGCATAGCTAGCTAACTTAAGCAAAGTCATGTAGGCAAATGATTGGCTGCTTGACGTTTTGCAACTTCATTTTATAAGTAACAGTTATATCACAATATGTAGGTTGTATTGTTGACTATGATGAAATTGGTGGAAGTGGCTTATCCTAAAAAATGAATGCATGCTGTCGTATCCTGCACTGTAAAAAAAAAACTCGTTAAAAAACCGGTCTAAGTACTGGCAGCAGCGGCTGCCAGTATGTGAAAAACAGTTAAAAAAAAAAAAATGTATTAGATTTGTATGATCAAACACTAAAATAAATACAAAACCTAAAGTTCTACAGCTAGAATACTGTTATTTTACAGCTTTTTTCTAACATTTTCCAATCAAACAGGTTCAACAAAATTATATCACAAAATGTTCTGTAGGAAACAATTACTCTGAAAACTTAAAATATAAAAATATTTGTAGAATTATAGTACAACCAATGAATACAGCATTTAATATTTAAACATCATACTTATAAACAGTAGAAACAAAAAGTAAGTTGAATTTTTTAAGATTACTTTGAAACATTCTCAACTGAAAATAACAGAAATTGCAAAATGGCGACATATGTTCACATTGTCAATTTGAAGGAGCAGTGTGCAGGATTTAGTACGTCTAACAATGGGGATGTAGGTTCCAATCAATGCATAACTTGTTCGCTCACCCTCCTATCCCAAGTTTGTAGGATAATGTATATTGGCTGCAAAAAACAACTTGAGGCCCAATCATGTTTCCTCTGTCCATTCTGCGCTACTGTAGACGTGGCAGTGCAACCTAGAGCAGGGGCTCCCAAAGTGGGGGTCGGGACCCCCCCCCCAAGTGGGGGTCGCGAGATGATTACAAAATAAAAATGGAAAATTTAAAAAAAAAAGATTATAAAAAGAAATTGATTAATTTTTTTTATANGAAATCAGGACAGCATATAGCTTGCACATCTTCCGGCGCAGACTGAAAACAAGTGTTTTGTTAGTAATTCTATCGCTCGAAGTGGAGTCGAAAGAGATGAGTTTTCAGTCTGCGCCGGAAGATGTGCAAGCTATATGCTGTCCTGATTTCAATATGGCGCTGATCTTAGCTATCTCTTAGTGGAGGAAAACAATTGTGACATCACTTACGCGACTCTAGGATTTGTAGTTGCGTATTTTTCATAGTTGCGTATTTCAACAGTTTTACGACAAACTGTGGCTTTTTTTACATGGAAATGATTTTTTAAGATTGACAAACATCATATGTGTAATTCATGG